GAATACTAATCCCAAGAAATACTTCATGTAAACAAAGTGTTTGCAGGGTTTTCTGTGGTGAAATACTAGTATGTTTAGAAAATGGTGAATCCCCTTCATGGAGGGCTACAGTGAACAGTTTCATATTAAAGTCTCTGAGAAACCTAATACATATTTATAGAACATTTCCTGTGTGCTGAGTGCATCCTGTTTTGCTCAGAGTTTGCCAAATTTATTTGATTACAGGACTCTTTTATCTAATGTGTAGCTGGACCCCACAGGCTAATTTCTGCAGATATAATTTTTGGAAAACGCAGGTGTAAGCACACGTGCCTGGCTAATTTAGTAAACTTTTATATGGTTCTACTTACACTAGATTTAACTAATTTCTTTCTTTTTTTAAAACTTTTTTTAAAAAATGCTTATTTACTTATTTTGAGAGAGAGAGAGCACGTGCACATGTGAGCACATGAGCTGGGGAGGGGCAGAGAGAGAGGGAGAGAGAGATTCCCAATCAGGCTCCCCACTGATAGCATGGAGCCTGATGCAGGCTTGAACTCATGAACCCATGAGATCATGACCTGAACTCAAACAAAGAGTCTGATGCTTAACCAACTGAGCCACCCAGGCACTAGGCTTAACTAATTTCATGTGATTTCTTTGCTCTGCAGGTACATTTGCAGCCTTAACTACATTGGTGTTTGTTTGAAGACCTCTCATGGTTGATGGTCAGGTGTGATATACACATATGGTTAAATCCCAGATCTGCAACCAACTTGTATATCTTGGGCAAAATATTCAGTTCACAGCTACTTACTGAACTTTAATTTATTCACTGGAACAAGCATTTATCATTTCCTATGTTCTTGACAATAGGAATCCAAAAATAATTTTACAAAGATGACTGTTTTCTATGACCTTTCATTGTAATAAGAGCAGATGGGTAAACATGTTATAGTATTGGGGCAAAGTGAATGATAGATATAAACACCTGAGGTGATCTTACCAAGGAAGATGGATGATTTCTGTTCACAGGAAGAGGGCTCACAGTGAAGCAGATAGAAGTTTGAAGTTCAGAATCATCTGTTACCAGCTTAATAACCTTGGAAAATTATCTAAGCTTTGGCAGCTTCGTGCAAAAAATTGTGTCCATACTGAGGATTGAGTCGATAAATGCCATATTTAATGGGCCATATATGTTAATTCTCTGAGCATCTCTGAAGCAAACCCTGAAGGAAGTTGTTGAATTCACTGATACAAAGTGGCCTTTGAGACATAGGAAACATGGACACAGGTGCAGACTGGGGGCAGCACTGGGTTTCCCTGGGTGCATTCTGAGAGCTGTATGAATGGTTGTCAGAGAATATAAGAGGGTACAGAGATTTTGGCAAATCTCACAGGCTCCTGTGTGTCATACCAAGGACTTTGACCTGGAGACAGCTATTCATGGATGTCTGAGGAAGTTAAATGAATTGATACATCTAATCTACAGTGCTAGGTAACATAGTAATATAACTTAATGGTAACAATAATAATAATATTAAAATAATAATGTAGAATTATAACAGCTAACAGTTATTTGCTACATGCCAGGCACAATTGTAAATGTTTTATATGTATTCATTCAAATTTATTTAGGCATCACCACACCTTTTGAAGTAGGTACTTGTATTACATCACACTGGTAGGTCAAGGGCAAAAAGGGGATTTGAACCCAGGCAGTCTAGCTCCTAGGTTCATGTTCTTAACTCCTATGGTGTCCTGACTCTTTGGAATATTCTACAGTATATACTGAACAAGTGTTAGTCCCTCTTCTTGAGACAGCCATGCTCCCCTAACTTTTATCTCTTGAGTAAAATATAATGCGAGTTAATATCCAGATAACTAAATGATTTAAAAAAATAGCATGTAAAGGCTCAGATATATTGATTGATGGGTCATTTTAATGCATTAATGATCTTGCTGTAGATTTCATTCTTTTTTTTAATGTTTATTTATTTTTGAGAAAGAGAGAGCAGGGGAGGGGCAGGGAGAGAAAGAGAGAATCTCAAGCAGGCTTTGCACTGTTAGTGCAGAACCTGATGTGGGGTTTGAACTCATGAACCATGAGATCATGACCTGAGCCGAAACCAAGAGTTGGACACTCAGCTGACTGAGCCATCCAGGGGCCACTACCTTAATTGTATCTCTTTCTCTGAAAGGTAAGAGAATAACATTCAGAATTTACGGCACATTTGCAGTTGTATCCTCATATACAACGAAAAGTTGGTTAGTTAGTATTTTTTTCCCTGTGCCTAGAATATTGTTGATGCTTAATACATATACTTTCATTATTCAATGTGTATTAGAAAAAATTGGTACTTTATTCAACTGTAGAATTTATTATTTTTTATTTTATTTAAAAAAAAATTTTTTTAACGTTTATTTATTTTTGAGACAGAGAGAGACAGAGCGTGAATGGGGGAGGATCAGAGAGAGAGAGGGAGACACAGAATCCGAAACAGGCTCCCAGCTCTGAGCGGTCAGCACAGAACCTGATGCGGGGCTCGAACTCACGGAACGCGAGATCATGACCTAAGCCGAAGTAAGCCGCTTAACCGACTGAGCCACCCAGGCGCCCCTATTATTTTTTAAAAGTAGGCTCCACGTTCAACGTGGGGCTTGAACTCACGACCCTGGGATCAAGAGTCAGACACTCCACTGACTGCGGCAACCAGGTGCTCCTCAGCAATACAAATTCTTATTTTAGAATAGGGTACTTCTTCATTCATGCCAAGAAGAGAGGTGCTGTAGCCCTCTCATGGCTCCTAAGAAAGTTCTAGAACCTTCGAATGTTTGTGGATTAAATAACTGTGGTGTTCTAAATTAGAGACCAACTTGGCTGTTTCATTCTGTAGGCAAAACACAGAGACCCAATCAGATTTGTGAAAATTTGTTTTATATGGAAAAGGAGAGGCATACTTTGTCCTTGATAGGCTTTGTCTGGAATGTTGACACATCAAGTTCCAGGTGGGAAGGTTGTGGAAGTTGCATGGGCTCAGCAACACATGAGGCAGGTGAAAGGCCTGAGCAAATGGGATTATGAAAGGGACAGCTCAGAAATCAACCTTTAGGTCACTTGTGGTTTTCAGTGGGAACTAGGCTGAGGGTGGTTCTCTGAAAAACATGTTTTATAAGGAGATGAGAGAATCAGCCCTCAAAACTGCAGAATCATATTAGGAAGTAGAGGGTGACTGACACCTTCTAAGGAAGAGGAAAAGTTCAGGATGATAAGAATCAAAGTGTTAGGACATAATTGGAAGTTGAGAAAACTGATTTCACAAATGCATCGTTTCTGGCCCCTTTGGTGACCTCATCAAGTACTCTCAATGTTTTCCTTCCCCTGACCTTCGCTGTTGTATTTTTTTCTATAAAACTTATGTCATCTTATGCCTGATGGACTGGAACTGGTATTCTCCCCTATTAAACACTGAAGTCAGAAAGCAACAATAAAAACCATTTGTTATTATTTTTTTTAAAGATGAAAACTACCTTAGTTAGCTTTTTCTCATAAAAGGTTGGAAACCAATTTAATGGGGACTGTTAATCTGCCAGGATAACAAATCAATTTTCCTGCCAGGAGCTGTTTTGTTTTTTTTTGGGGGGGGGGTGGCTGGGGATCATTTTCTGGTTCATCAGTCCCCTTCAAGAAGTGCAGTGACAGTCATATGGTCCTATGGACAGAGCTGTGTGAGGACCCATCCACTGGAAAGGATGTTAGAGGCGGGAATTGGTTTTCAGAGATGCAGGGGCAATGCTTTCACGAAATCCTCTTTTTCAGAGAAGAGCGAATTAGAGAATATTAGCCAGGACTGGTTTGTATTCATGCACTTGTTGGAATGTCTCCTATCTCACTTTAATTTTTGTAAAAGGAGATGTAGTTTTTTTCTTTTCTGAGAATTTCACAAGTAAAAATATAAAAAGGTAGTCTTCACGTGTTGCCTACATCACTAGCCCTGAGGGAGGAAAAAGAAGATCTGAGATTTGCTGGACTCAGTATTGTGTTCAATTTCTCCTAGATGCCATTTTCTACTTTTTTTTTGTTTTGTTTTGTTTTCTGACTGTGCTGTCAGCACAGAGCCCCCTGTGAGGCTCGAACTCACGAGCTGTGAGATCATGACCTGAGCCGAAGTCGGATGCCCAGGCACCCCTTATCAATCTTATTTAAATTAAACTAAACAACTGAAGAAAAAAGAGGCACATTTTCTTGTCTTATTTCTGGAATTGATTTATTCATTTTCCCATAAATATATGTAATTACTTTTTATTTAGCTATTAACTTAGGTTTACAGATAAGATAGAATTTACAGTGAATTTAGCTTAGTGCATATAAATTTTGAATCTATTTTGAGGTAGATAAGTCTAGACTAGATTAGCATAGAAACTCCATCAGAATAAGGATTGTTTCCAAAATATACATGGTGCGTGGTCTTTGCCAACCAAGTGCTGTGTACTCAGGAAGTATTTGTTGAATGACTTCATGTAATATAGTGTGATTCTCAGGTACTTATCTGTAATGACATTACATAGGCTTACTAACTTGTCAGCATCTCATTAAAAATTAAAAATTTCTTTTATTACTAGTTTTTATTGCTGTTTACTGTTTAGAAAACAAATTTCAGTAATAAATTATCTTGAATTAAATAGAAAAATGAATGAATTATGAATAAATGTAATTGATAGTTACCATCTTTCAAAGCATGAGGTCTCTGGAGGAAGAAATAGCAAAATTAAAAGGCCCTTGTGGTGAAAGGATTAAATAGATAGTCTTTATTGTTAGGCATAAGTCATAGATGATAATCAGCATACAAATGATTAATTCAGTAGCTGTTATTTAGTACATTGTACTGGGTGGTTGCATGATCATAGAGATGCTTTGAATTTTCATGTCACTTTTCACTTTCAGAGTGATTTCCAGTGTCTCAGGGGACCACAGCAGTCCTATGAGGGACAAAGTGAAGTGATCTCTCACTGGAATATGAATGAATCAAGGTATAGAGGGTTAAATAAATTGCCCCAGCCTTTTTTGCTAGTTGGTGATAGATGACTATAAATGTTTTTTTTCCCTGTTTCTTCACACATGCATATTTCAACCTTTACAGATTCACAGTAGCAGAAATAGAGGTCAGAAAAGAGGCATAAAGCTGAGAAAAAGAACACTGAGTTTAACACATGACCTCTTGGTTTAGATTGTAAGAGAATGGATCTTTTTTTAAAGTAGGCTTCATGTCCGGCACGGAACCCAGTGTAGGACTTGAACTCAAGACCCTGAGATCAAAACCTGAGATAAGATCAAGAGTTGGATGCTTAACTGACTTAGCCACCCAGGTGCCCCAAAAGAATGGATTTTTGACATCACTCTTTCTCTGGGTGCTTAGGTAAAATACTGTGAGATATCAGACTGTTGAGTAGCATGGGACCTTATGCAAATAAAGTTTTTCTGTTCTTAGGCCAGAACTTTGATGTCTGCTTAACTTTAATTCAATTCAGATACTCTAGGATTTTGAAGTGGTTGAAAAATTATATTTATTTAGAAATGACTGTTCAAATGAAATGTACTCAACTGACATTTAGGAGAGTTACAACAGCTACTTACAATAACTATCATCCTGTTTTTGTTGAAAGTGTCCTGTTATACTCTAAAGATATTTGAATGAAAATAGTTTAGTGCCTAAGATTATAAAAACTTTTACAATCCACCTAAAAAACCAGAGTCTGAGAAAGCAGTGTTGAAGTGGAAAGTGGGTTTGGCTAAGATGGATGATACCAGAAATGGGAAAACTGGTCATTGTTGGTGACAGCCTAAAGGTCAGCAGTGCTTTGTTGGCATAATCTCATAGAGCACATTGTATTTAACAGGAACATGGGATTCTTCTCTTCCTTTGACATGTGACTCAAGAGCTGGATTCCAGGATGGACAAAAGATTGAGAAACAACAAATGATGAAAATAAAAAAATGGTTTAGACTCTTTATTTCCCCTGGATCATTAAAGGCCCTGTAACCATTTGACTAGCTTTGATTACATAATTATTCTGAGGAAATAAAAAATTATCAATCCAGTGGCAGAACTCTTGTTGTCTCAGACCCCTGAATTGTATTATTACTAATTATTGCTAACATATATTGAGTGATTTATGGCAGGCACACTGCTAAAGGCTTTTTATTGAATCCCACAGCAGTTCTTTGAGTTAGATATTATTATTATCTTCCTTTTTACAGATGAGGACAATGAGACTTAGAGAAGTCAGTAACTTGCTAAAATATTTCATGAATGTGTGTTTTAGGAATGATATATTAAAAATTCCACAAGATTTCTCAGGATGGGGAATGGTTATTGCTCCATAATGCACAATAATCAATATTGTTTAACAACTCAAGACAGGAAATGAAGAAGGATGTAAAGTATAATTATGGATTCATTTGGAATTGCTTGACCTTTTTTGCATCAATTATTATTATTATAAGTTGAGTTTTCCTGAGGTAGCTGCTTTGGAATCAGACCTAAATTTGGGTATCAGTTTTGCCACTTATTAATGGGTACCTTCCTAATTGGGTTATTTGAATATATTGTGCTTCATTTTTTTCATGTGGTAAATGGGCATATCTTCCTTCTTCACAGGTCTGTTATAAACATTGCTCCCAATTATTTGTGAATTCCATATTTGAAAATTCACATGCTTCATAAAATTTGTTGGTGACCCCCCCCCATCAATACAAATAATACTTTCACAGTCATTTGCAGACATGTACAGAGCTTTAAAAATTTGAGTCACCCTATCACACGGTCTCAGCTGAGGTCAAGCAAGGTGACATTCTGCCTTATTTCTTACAGTGTCAACAAATGTCCTCTTCACAATCTATTCAGTGCACTTTTTTTCTTTGCGTTTTTATACTTTTATCGGTTATTTTACTGTCTAAAATGGCTCCCAAATGTTCTGAAGTGCTGGCTAGTGTTCCGAAGTGCAAGAAGGCTGTGATGTGCCTTGTGGAGAAAATACATGGGTTAAATAAGCTTAGTTCGAAGATGAATTATAGTGCTGTTGGCCATAAGTTCAATGTTAATGAATGAACAATGTACATTAAATAAGATATTTTTCAGCTGAAACACACATAAAACAAGGTTACGTATTGATCTGTTGCTGAAGATATTGTGGCCAGAGTCTCATAGGAGCCTAACCCTGTATTTGCCAAGGATAAAAAGAATTGACTGTGTAATAAATACTCAGAACTTTGACTGTCAACTTTATCTTTCAGCCTTCCTTCTGGTCTTACCGAAGGAGCCACCTCTGAAAGAGTTGGGGGTATTCTTAATGGTTTTAACAGGGCAGTGAACACTCTGAAATAGCACAACGCAATCTTCTTCTTAACTTCTAGAGTCCCTTATAGTAACTTATAAAATATTACTTCTCATTAATTAAAAGTTCAGTTTGGGACACTAGACTAAACTATCTTGAACGATTATTTTATGAGAAAGTATTTTCAGCTTACCAGGTGCTGTAGTCCCTGCTGCAACTGTTCAACTCTGCCATTGTGGTGCAAAAGCAGCCATAGACAACAGTAAATGAATGGTTTTGACTCTGTGTGTGTGTGTGCGTGTGTGTGTTTTCCTTTAAAAGTTTTATTTATTTGAGAGAGAGAGAGAGAGAGAGAGCAAGTGGGGGAGGGGCAAAGAGACAGGGGGACAGAGGATCTGAAGTGGGCTCTGCACGGGCAGTGGAACCGATGCAGGTCTCATACTCCTAAACCATGAGATCATGACCTGAGCTGAAGTTGCACGTTCAACTTGGTTTCTTACAGTAGTTATCAGTTTACTAGAAGGCCTGTAAACCATAGAAGGTGAAATACAGTTCTTTCCGTTACTGTGTTTCTCTGCTGATAGCGCTGGGAGTGGTAATAATAGCAGAGGGAGCATTTATTAAATGCCAGGCACTATGCTTAGCACCTTATACTATATTTTATTTAATTACTATCGCCGTGCGAAGCATTACTATGTTTTTTATCTCATTTTTCAGAGAGGGAACTGAGGACCCACAGAAGTGAAGTAACTCACTTAAGGTCATAGGAAGTTGTATAACCTGGTTCTAGGATGGTTTTGACTTTGTAGCCAGCATGCAACATCTTTTGCCTAACCTTTTCTTATTTTCTGATGTTCTACTAATTTTGGGATGTTGAGAGTTGGAATTTCACTGTATAGACAAATTAAGCTTTTCTGAAGAAAAACATTCTATTTTTGTGAGTGAATAAGTAGATGAATGTGGGTTTTAGCTCTAATTCTTTATTTTTTAAAAATTAACTTGTTTGTGTATCTTGATAAGTATCCAAATATGTTATAAAAGGAGAATCTATCCAAATGTGAGGCTTTGCTCCTTCAGTCTGCTGGGAGATATGTTTATATTGATCAATTAATTTGGAGGTTTTATTTTATTTGGAGGTCTTGTTTCTTTAATATCCTCATTAAATGGTTAGAAAGTCCTTTGCTTTTAAGTCACTAATATCATTTTGAACACGGAACCACACATTTGGGGGACATAGATTTGCATTTGTTGAATGAATAATAACTCAGCAGCACAACTACATTCCTTGGTATAACTCTGCCAACTCTTTTTCCCATTGCCCATGCCTGCTGTGTCGGCTTAGTTCTCAGTTCTGAGTTAGTTCTCAGAATTAGCACAGAGCTTGTCATCAGCAATAAGATGGAGGTTATAAAAATGACTGTCACAGCTGTGAATATTGAAAAAGTGGAGATATTGGTGTAGCTATTGCATGAGAAACGCTATCCTCCTATTACCCCTTTATGTTGAGTTCTCACTCACTGGGTCAACCTTTTATTTGGACTTAGTATTTGCCAGATAGATTTAGGAATCCAAAAATAATGATACTTGTTTTCTGGAAGCTCAAAGTCTCACATCAACTGATACACATATATATCACCTTATGAGTAAGTTTGTGTGTGTGTGTGTGTGTGTGTGTGTGTGTGTGTGTGTGTGTGTACGCACACGCGCACGCGCGTGCCTGATGCCTAAATGCAGGTGTTATGAGAAGAGGATTGTAGGAGGACAGAGGGAGGCACAACTGACCAACCTACTGCCTGGTGGGGACAGGGAGGTCTTGTGAAGAGGGTCATTTTTGATGTAGGAATTGGAGTTTTCCAAGTGGAGCACATGGATTCGTTAGCTTCTCTGGAGAAAGATGACCACAGTAGGAAGAGAAGGGATGAAAAAACTTGGGAATGATATGAATTTTGTTAGCTTTGGAAGAGGATGGGGCAACAGATGAGGCTGGGAAAATACGGTGGGGCCAAATTGTGAAGTGCATGTGGTAATAGGGACAACTTCAGAAAGCTTTAGGGGTGCCTGGGTGGCTCAGTCGGTTAAGCGTCGACTGTTGCTTCAGCTCAGGTTATGGGCTCACAGTTAGTGGGTTTGAGCCCTGTGTCAGGCTCTGCAGTAATATGACAGTGTGCAGCCTGCTTGGGATTCTCCCTCTCCCTCTCTCTGTCTGCCCCTACCCAGCTCATGTGCACACTCTCTCTCAAAATAAATAAGTAAACTTAAAAAAAAAAAAAGCTTTAATTAGGGTGTAGCATGATCAGAACTTTATAAAAGTAATTCTGGTGACTAAAATTGATGGAGAAGTGCAGTGACTAATGGGGTCTATATTCTTCTGACTTCCAGCTTTCTCCTGTGCTTCTGGAGAGTATCTAGAAATGAAGAACCAGGTATGCAGCAAATGTGGCGAAGGTACCTATTCCTTGGGCAGTGGCATCAAATTTGATGAATGGGATGAATTGCCAGCTGGATTTTCCAACGTTGCAACATTCATGGACACTGTGGTCGGCCCTTCTGACAGCAGACCAGATGGCTGTAACAAGTAAGAATCCAAGGGAGTCTCTGGATCTTGACTAAGTACTTGAGAAGGGTATAGTTGCTCTTTTCCAGAAAGAAGTTGGGGATAATCTTGGTACCGAATGGGATTATAGATAAGCTAATTGCCAAGAGTCATTTTTTTTTTTTTTTTTATGGACAGTCACTACAAATAATGTAGGTGAATTTTCATGAGGTTAAAATAATTGCTCTTAGGACATAATAGCTGCCATATTGAAAAATGCAGTAAAGCTATTAGAAAAACATTAATTTTCTGATAATAAATTTATAACATTGAAGCCACTGGAATTTTTACAAACCCTTCTCTGATTTTTAATGGGTAACTTTGGATTTGTTTTTCTTTTCCTCTGAAAGGAAGAATGTATAATCTTCATTTAGATACTCAATGATCTCCTGTAAGAGAGAGTAGGTTAAATAAGGTGGAAAGCTCTTTTGCTTAATTTCTACCTTAAAAAATTTTATAATTGAAGTATAGTTGGCATATGATACAACACTTTTAGACGTACAGCATAGTGATTTCACATTTATATATATTATGAAATGTTCATGCTAACTATAGTTACCCTCTGTCACCAGAATTATTAAGATGTTATTGACTATATTACCTATGCTGTAATTTCTTCCTTTCTTTAGGGGATTATTAGCTTTGCCAATGACAACACTGGTGAAATGTTAAATTGTTTTAAAAAAGATATAAAATGTTTATCTTTGGGCTGTAATCCTTCCTGTTCTCTTGTATTCGCTATATAACATTTCCTTCTATATGGCTATGTATAGAATAATTAAGCATTAGGCCTCTGGCTACTTTTGAACAAGAATGGCTTCTCAGGAACTGAACATTTTTACCATGAGCTAAGGATGCTTGGGAATAATTATCTGAGCTAAGATGCATTCTCTCCTTCCTACCTTCCCTTAATCCCTCTTGTTTTCCAGTGCTCTTTCTCTCTCTGCCAAGTGACATTTTTACTCTTTTGATAATCATTATTTCATTATATATAGAGAGTTGTGGCATTAGATATCATTAACGTCTAAATATATATATATTTATATGTGTATATATATGTATGTATGTATGTACACACATATACATATACATGTATATATACATGTATATACATATGTGTATAAATGTGTGTATATATTTTTTAAATGTAATTTAATATTTTTAAACAAAAGAGCTCTTTAGAGGAAGGTACTAGTAGGATGTTATGGTACCTCAGATCTTTGTTTTAGTGGGCAAGAGATGTTGACATCGCTTCTTTTTCTACTTAGAATATGTAGTTTATTCAGTAAAGAAGTTTAATGATGAGTACAACTTTTTCAATGTACTGTCTTGTGTAATTTTCTCAATGTGAATTTCAGTCTGATATTGCTATGATCATCTCCCTCCCTCCCTTCTTTTATCCATTCATCCAATCTTGCTTCAATTCTTTTTAATTGGTTGGGTCATATAGATGTATGCTGAACTTCATAAGGAATTGTCAGAGTTTTCCAAAATGGTTGTATCACTGTAGACTCCAGTGTGTGTTTGAATTCTAGTTACACTACACATTTACCAATATTTTGTTTTGTCAGGTTTTGTTTTAGCCATTTATGTGTGTGTGTGTGTGTGTGTGTGTGTATGTGTGCATGTGTGTGCACGCATGTGAAATGATACCTCCTTGTGGTTTTAATTTGCATTTCCCTTGAACACTTTTCATATGTTCATTGTCCATGTGTTTTATTTTTTTGTGTGTATGTGAGATGTCAACATGTTTTACCCATTTTCTATTTTTTGGGGTCATTTTATTATTGAGCTATATGTGATCTTTGTGTATTCTAGACATGAGTTCTTGTCATGTATATATTTATATAAAACTTAATATATAAGTGCATACACAAATACATATATATATATATAGGTATGTGTGATGTTTTCTCCCAGTTGGTGGCATTTGCCTTTTTATTTTCTTTTTTTGATTTTTTTTAAAGTTTATTTATTTTGAGAGAGAGAGAGAGAGAGAGAGAGAGCAAGTGGGGCAGGGATAGATAGGGAGGGAGAGAGGGAGAGAGGGAGAATCTGCACTGTCAGTACAGAGCCCCATGTGAGGCTCAAACTCACAAACTGTGAGTTCATGACCTGAGCTGAAGTCGGATGTTTAACTGACTGAGCCACCCAGGCACCCTGCCTTTTCATTTTCTTAATGGTGTCTTTCGATAAACCAAAGTTTAAAATTTGAGAAAGTACAGTTTATCAGTTTTTTTTCTGTTACAGTCAATGTTTTTTATATCTTCAGATATCTTTGCTAACCTTGATTACAAAGGCTATACCTTACAATATGCATTCTGACAGTGTAATTATTTATTACTGTACCTTTTGCATAATATGTAAAACTTTACAACAGTGTGGTTACAATTATACCCTCATCTGTGTGCTATTGTCCTGTATTATATGTAGAAACATCTTATAATTCCTATAATACAATGAAACATATGTTAAATAATCAGTTGTTTTTAAAAGAACTAATGAGATAAAAACAATATAGGGGCACCTGGGTGGCTCAGTCCCTTAAGCATCCAACTTCGGCTCACGTCATGATCTCATGGTTCGTGAGTTTGAGCCCCACATCGGGCTCTATCCTGACGGCTCAGAGCCTGGAGCCTGCTAGGGATTCTGAGTCTCCCTCTCTCTCTGCCCCTCCCCAGCTCATGCTCTGATTCCCTCTCTCAAAAATAAATAAACATCGGAAAAAAGTTAAAGAAAAAGAGATGAAAAAATATAGCTTTATATGTTTGTCTACATAGTCACCGTTATGGCTGCTCCTTCTTTCTTTATATAGATCTGAATGTTTAGGATTATTTTTTTCAACCAGTGAAATTTTCTTTATCATTTCTCATAGTATAGGTCTGCTGCTCCCAAATTCTCTCAGCTTTTCTTTACCTAAAAGAAAGAAAGCCTCTCTTTTTTTTTTTTTTTTTTTTTTTTTTGCCTCCATATTTTGGAGAATATTTTGAAGAATATTTTCTTGGACATTGGACTGTTGACTTTACTTTTCTCTTTCTCTGCTTTAAAGATGTTCTACTACCTTCTGAACTCTCCCTTATTTGTGATGAAAAGTTAGCTGTATTGTTTATGATTAATTCCCTTCTATGTAAAGTGCCTTAATTTCTCTATTTATAAAATGTTCTCCATATTTTTGCTACTTAGCAGTTTGACTATGACATATCTGGCACTGGTTTTCTTGTATTTACTTCAAGTTTAGTGAGCTTCTTGGATTTGTAGGTTGATAGTGTCACCAAATTTAGCAATTATTTTAGCAGTTACTTCACCAATAATGTTTTTCTGCCTTTTTCTCTCCCTCTTCTGTTTCTTTAACTCCAATTACACATAGGTTAGACCACTTGATATTGTCTGAAGGTCACTGAGGCTCCTTATTTTTTTTCAAATTTTTTTCTCTCATATTTCAGAATGCATGATTTCTAATGCTCTATCACTAACTATCTTTTTTCTTTTCTTTTTTCAGTCTCAAACTTGCTCTGAGCCCATCTGGTGAATTTAAAATTTTACATGTTATGATTTTTCAGTTCTAGAATTTCCATCTAGTTTATTTTATGGCTCTTATTTCCCTTAAATACTCGAGATTCTTTATTCCTTCACTTATTGTGTTCATCTTTTATTTATAGTCGACTGTATTTGGAAGAACTGTCTTAAATACTTGCCTGGGTTTTTTTTTTCCTGTCTTTTTTCTCCATTAAGGGTCATATTTTCCCACTTATTTGCATGTCTAGTAAATTTTTATTATATCTTGGGCATTGTGAATGTTAAGGTGTAGGGAATGTGGATTATTTTTTTTCTTCATTTTAAGAGTGCTGAATTATGTTCTGGCAGGCATTTTAGGTACTGAAAGAGCACTTTGACCTCATCAGGCCTGGTTTTATTATTTTTTAGGGTGGCTCTGTATTAGTTTCGCACTTAGTTCTAGGTCATGGCCTTTATTTTAGTGAGGGAGTTGGCAAACTGTGGCCTTTGGGCTCTCTCTTTGTTTCTGTAAACAAAGTTATATTGGAAGACAGCTGTACTCATTTATTTATGCATTGTCTGTGGCCGCTTTTCAGTTACAACAGCAGAATTAAGTATTGCAGGAAGGACCAGATGGTCCACAGAGCCAACAATATTTAGTCTCTGGCCCATTATGAAAAGGTTTGCTAGTACATGCTTTAGGGCATGGCCCTTATTTTCCAAGATGTGGCACTTCTGGGGTCTCCCATAAATGCCCAGTATGGTTATCAAGTTTTCTCCTCTCTGGCTGACCTGGAGCTCCAGTGACTCCCATTAAAGTGAGCTCTGTGATTATGTCTCAGCTTTGCAGTGGCTGTTTTCTGCTATGTCTGGACACTCCAGCCCCAAGCCCAGAGAAACTCCATATGGACTTCTGGACACCCTGTTCTCTGATTCTCAGGCCTATCAATTCCAAGTGCTTCAGCTGCCCTAATGACTCATCTCTGCTCCTCAGCTCAGTGAGACTCTTTGCTCTGCTTGAGTGCTGTCTCCTGGTGCCACAGTCTGGGAAGTGTCCTGAAAAGTGAGGTCAGGGTCAGTTTGGGCATTTTCTTGCTCTCAAGAATCTCAGTCCTGCATTGTGTATTGTCAGTGCCTGAACATGGCTCATGTATTTTCTTTAGTTTAACAGTTAAAGAGAAAGGGCAAATCCAAATACCAAAGAGTGAGTCATGTTGGGATCTGGAAATCTCAGGCTTCAGATTTTTTTTCTGTTAGAAGAAAGAAAAGAATTTGCCCAAATCTCATTCTTATCCATATAAACAGTTACATCTGAAGAGAAGGGTGTTAAGTTGTGCTTTCATACATTTTGGTTAGAAATATTTTTGGCCAAAGAGTCAACAAGTGACTCATTATTGGTTTATCTAAGAATTAGGGTTAGATTTACAACTTAATTTAATTAATTAATTAATTAATATATTTATTTAATTTAGAGAGTGAATGTGTGTGTGTGAGCATGTAAGGGGTAGAGAGAGGGAGAGAGAGAATCCCAAGCAGGCTCCGTGTTGTCAGTTCAGAGCCTAACTCGGGGCTCAATCTCATGACTGTAAGATCACGACCTAAACCAAAATCAAGAGCCAAATGTCCAACTGGCTGAGCTACCCAGGTGCCCCAACAACTTACATTTTATTCACCAGTGTGTTTTCTTAATTTTTCACTTTTTTAAAACAAAAATTCCAACCAGACTCTTACCCCTATTATATACTCTGAAACTGGGATCTATATTTTACCTAGATTCACTTTAAATGGATTTTTACTAGTACTATTCCTTCTTTCATCTCAAGGAACTCCCTCATCCCCCTGCCAGGTATATGTGTTTATAAATAAAACTTGAGATGTTGTTTGAGAAAATAATTCTCCTTCAGACAATTGTAGTTTGTGGTCATCTATTTAGTAACCAAATTTTTGGTGGAAAAATAGTTTCCTAGCAAATGAATCACATAACCTTAACAAATTTGGGAAGTCCTGTGCCATAAGAAATGAACCTTTTCCCAGTAACGTGTTGGCCTTCGAGTTCCAGAGAAGCTTGAGACTTCTCTGCTGTGCTTTGCCGATGGAACTACCTCTGAAACTCAGTTAGGTAACTTGTGAACAGAAGAGGTTTCTGAATGCTAATGTAAAAATGCCTGTTGGTTTTGTTTCCACAGCTCTTCTTGGGTCCCTCGTGGAAATTACATAGAGTCAAATCGTGATGACTGCACAGTATCTTTGATCTATGCTGTGCACCTTAAGAAGTCGGGTTATGTCTTCTTTGAGTACCAGTATGTCGACAACAACATCTTCTTTGAGTTCTTTGTAAGGCCTTTTATGTTCTCAAATTCACTTTTTGAGGAAATTCATGTAAAATTTCCATTAATCAGTTGTTGCCATTGCATTGTATGCCTCCTCATTTTTTCCTGTTAATTGAACCTTTTGATCTGAAAAGAAAACCTTATATTTCTCTATAATACTTTATTTTCTAGTTAGTATTGTTACCTCTGAACTCTCACCTTGTCGAGTAACATTGGGCTTGTTTCATTTTTGGTTATGATCATTGGATGAGCATTTGACTTAGACTTTTTGTGTGAAAAATACCTTCACCGAGAGTCATTTTAATTTTTTTTATAACTACAGATACGATTTTATTCAAAATATGTTTTCACCAATTTTTGTGTTTTTTTTTCCTCTTTGCAGTTTCAAGTATTTGACTGATTTATGTGTAAACTTGGGCAATATTATAAAAGTAGAAGTGGCTGTATGTTTCTGATTCTGTCAATTTTGTACAATCTAAAGGCATCAGTGGATGAGATAGTTGATGTCTCTGGTAAGAGATGAAATAGCCTTACGGAATATAGGATAAAATAATAGTCTGACAGAATAGGCTGTTATCACTAAAATTATTTAAACATTTAATATAAAGTGTATCTAATCTAGGAAATATTTGTTGTGTCAGTCACTCTTATGCTTGAGAAAATGTTTTCGGATTGACTTATAAAACGAAAAAAAAAAATGTGTGTTCTACATATAAGTGGGAAAAATATCTTACAAAATGTTCCTGTGGTCCGAATCTCAGGAGCCTATGTGCTAGTAATGCTAAAACAAATTTATATTGCTCCTGATTATGGAAATTGTTAGTCAGAAATTTTTTGGTAGGAAGAGATACTTGCTGTTGAAGTATGAGCCTTGGATTTGAAGTCAAGAGATTCTGGCTCAGGCCCCAACTACAGTGGCTGGTTGTGTGTTTCGGGCAATTAAAGTTAACTTTCCAGCCCTCAGCATTCCCTTTTGCCAAGTGGATTGTATGACAAGACCTTTTAAGGAGCCTCCTGGTTCTAATCTTTTGATGACTTTAAGATGTTAAGTAACATTCAAACAGATTTCCTTTTGAAGCTACATTTTGTTTGCAAAACACTTATTAGAGTAAATGATTCCCAACTCCATGGGACGTTTTTGCAATCTTGCTAAAACTGGAATAAAGTTAAGAAGCAAGGTAATTATGTAACTGTTAGAATAAGCATTTAGTTTTTGTATTGTCAAGTAAGTCCTTTGAGAGTTGTTGGTAAAGGTACTCTTGAGGCATGAAGTTTGATTACTTCCTTTCAGTGGTCCCTTTGTTCTTCTGGTTATAGACTGAGAAGGGGTGGTGAGTTCATGTTCCTTCTTTTATTGATGTTTCAGCCTGATAGGGAGAAGCTTATTGACTCAGAAAGTCAACACTTAAGTCGTCATGCTAATGGTTAATGGAAAGGAAATGTCTCAAGACTGAAAGATGCACTTGTACCTCATGACATTACACAATTTAAATTTTTTTTAAACGTTTATTTATTTTTGAGAGACGACAGACAAAGCACGAGGAGGGGGAGGGGCAGAGAGAGAGGGAGGCACAGAATCTGAAGCAGGCTCCAGGCTCCGAGCTGTCAGCACAGAGCCTGACGCAGGGCTCAAACCCACGAACTGTGAGAACATGACCTGAGCTGAAGTCAGTTGCTTAACTGACAGAGCCACTCAGGCGCCCAGAGACATTACACAATTTAAAGCAATAAAGTAATTTTAGAACTATGTGGGAACTTCATTCAGCTCCTCCACTCTTCTTTTTAAATGACAAAACTGAAGCCTAGAGAGAATAAGTGATTGGACTAAGGTCATACCTTTACTACTTACCTTTAGAATGAAGAACAGAAATCAGATTTCAAAATGCCAGTAGAACGTCCTGAAAACACATGATGTTTGATTTCAGCTGAAAAAAAAAAAATGCTTTCAGCTTTTCCAAACAGTGATCATCAAAGGTATATTTAGGGTCCATAGCTGCTTAAAAATGGCTTACCACTTGCATTAGAATGGCCATTATGGGGGCGCCTGGGTGGCTCAGTCGGTTAAGCATCTGACTTCGGCTCAGGTCATGATCTCTCAGTCTGTGAGTTCGAGCCCCGCGTCGGGCTCTGTGCTGACCGCTCAGAGCCTGGAGCCTGTTTCAGATTCTGTGTCTCCCTCTCTCTGACCCTCCCCCGTTCATGCTCTGTCTCTCTCTGTCTCAAAAATAAATAAAGGTTAAAAAAAAAATTAAAAAAAAAAAAAAAAAAGAATGGCCATTATGCTTATAGTATAAATATGACAATTAGATTTAGTTAAAAAAAAAATAGCCTCAGTAGGTGATATTCCCTGATCTTTTGAGATGTTAAAACGATCTATTTTCCTGTTAATAACCTTTATGAAATATCTATTACAGAGTACATTTTTTAATCATTTTCTTAAGTTTATTTTTTATTGAGAGACAGAGAGAGCATAAGCTGGGAGAGGTGAGAGAGAGGGAGACACGGAATCCGAAGCAGGCTCCAAGCTCTGAGCTCTCAGCACAGAGCCTGATGTGGGGCTCAAACACATGAACCGTGAGATCATGATCTGATCTGAAGTCAGACACTTACCCCACTGAGCCACCCAGGCTCCCCCAGAGTGCATTTTCATGTTGTTTTTAAACTAGTCTGGAAGGTGAGTACAGTGGCAAAGATGTAGAGACGAAAGAAATAGCAATTCTCGCAGAAGTAGAGGGGATGAGTTCTTCCTTTAACCCTACTCTGTTGCTGACTCGTGTGCAATACAGCACAATAGCCTAACCTTTTGATGTCTGTGTATTCTTCACAGGCCTGGAAAAATAGTGTGCAAACTCTGAGGCATTTTTAAGAGTTGTCTGGAAAACACAAAGTGTTTGGTGCTAAAGATAGGAGCTATAGTCATTTGAATTGGCTTGGCATATGATTAACATTTATCCTCCTCCCCCCACGCCCCCAACCTGAAAAAATTTAGGGCTTTGGCTTTGGCTGTAGCCACTTACCTATGTATGGACTTTGGAATAAGTCCTGTGGAACTGAACACAGAGCAGATTTCATTTATTTATTAATTTAAAACGTTACTGCCCTAAATCTTATAAAAATAAACTTTATACTTTGGGTCCTGCATGGTGAATGCAAGCTTTGGACACATTGGATAAGTTTTTGGTGATGACTTTTCTCCTTTCTGTGAATTTTCAGGGTTGACTGCTCTCATCCTCTCTCCTTCCCTCCTCTCTGTTCTTAACCCTTTTGTTACAATAATGAGGATGCTTTACTTAGAACCACAGTAAACAGTTGTCACTTGGGCTCCAGAGGCCTTGGTTATGCTTACTTGCTGAGAATTACTCACGGCCATTATTTAGTATGTATTGAAAGAAGCTCTTACAGCCTGTCTTGTGCTGAGTAGTGCCTTTAATTAAAGCTATTATTCAAGAAGCTTTACTGGGGCCATTGTGTTTCATCCATAGATTCAAAATGATCAGTGCCAGGAGATGGACACCACCGCAGACAAGTGGGTAAAACTCACAGACAATGGAGAATGGGGCTCTCATTCTGTAAGTCTCTCTTTGTTCTTCTTCTCTCCCACCAACCCTCATTCTGCTCCTTCCTTTTCCCAATTTTATAAAGAAGTTTATTTTATGAAAAAAAATTGTTCATTAATTTAGACAGTTTCTGGGTAGGGAAGAAATTGCCTCAAAGTTTCATGGACACAGGATCTTTCCAGATGTTTTTTTTACTACCTTTCTCTTTGGGTTTCTTTCCCTTCTCTTCGCTGTCAGACTCCAACTTTCCTCCTTTTCAAAGGGGCTTTGACAAGAAATAAGGCTATTGAAAACTAATACACAGAACCTCTGGGTGTGTAAGTTTGCATATGTGCCTGTCACGTGGGAGAGGATCAGTGGCTCTTGGCACTGGACGGATCCTTTGTTCCATCTTTCTCTGCAGTGTCTCCAACAAGTGACTTTCAAACTTGTTTTGTTGGGGGCTGTACTGACTCCATTGTTGGACAGCACTGCATCTCACAAAATCCATCCGTGTTTGAAGCCAAACCTGCTTCCTGTCTATTTGTCACCTGTTGCTCAAACTTCTACCCTCTCTGGTCACATTTGGTAAAGTTACTACCTACTCCCCACAGTACAGCTCCAAATGCTTGAAAGCAATGATCAGGTAACACAGTCTGTGAATCTGTTATTATTGGAGGCCCTCTCCCGTTGGAGTAAGGCATGGATTTAAAATCTAACTCTGGCTTACTGTAGTTGTGTCTCTTTAGGTAGTTGGCTTAATCTCTTTGAATCTGAGTTTTCACAGAAGACATGGGGGCAGTCTTGCAGGGTTAAATGAGATGTTATACAGGAAAGACCTCATGTGGTACCTGCAGTGTAGACTAAGCTCTATGTCAATAAGTGACCATCCACCCTCACCTTTCCGTTATAGCAGGTGCCCCATCCTTGAGTGATTCATACAGTGTACCCTCTCTGACTATTTTTGATCTGTATGCCTGGAAGTGGTAATAGAACCACTTAAGATCCATTTGTCTAAGCATTCATTAAGCTGCGTTTTGAAGGTACAAGTAACCCTTGGCAACAAATATGCTTTCTTCACTTAACCCAGGGGAAAGTATGTAATGTATAACTTTGCTGAATCTCTGGCATTGTGAAATACATGTTTTAATTTTATGGAGCTTGAATCTGGCCAGCCAGAGACTACACAGAAGAATAAAAGTGGCAAATGAGAAAGCAAGGAACTCTTATATCAGTTCCTTTGACAGAAACGGCATGAGATTTATCAGAAAAGTCATTTGATATGTAAAAAGAACATGGGGCACCTGGGTGGCGCAGTCGGTTAAGCGTCCAACTTCAGCCAGGTCACGATCTGGCGGTCCGCGAGTTCGAGCCCCGCGTCGGGCTCTGGGCTGATGGCTCAGAGCCTGGAGCCTGTTTCCGATTCTGTGTCTCCCTCTCTCTCTGCCCCTCCCCCGTTCATGCTCTGTCTCTCTCTGTCCCAAAAATAAATAAATGTTGAAAAAAAAAATTAAAAAAAAAAAAAGAACAATGTGCTGGTGGCAAAGGAAGCAAGTATTAGATGTACTGATCATTTAAGTGCTGGAGATACACATTTAAATCATGTTATTTTACAACAGTCCTATTTTTCTCTGGTTGCTGTTGGAGTATCGTTTCTTAAATAATTTTATTTCTATTTATTTGTTTTGAAATACTGCTTTTAAGTTCATTTATTTTGAGAGAGAGTGAGAAGGTGCAAGCAGGGGAGAGTCAGAAGGGGGGGTGGGGAGAGAGAGAATCCCAAGCAAGCTCTGCACTGTCAGTGTGGAGACTAATGTGGGGCTCAAACCCAGAACCGTGAGATCTTGACCTGAGCTAAAACCAAGAGTTGGACGCTTAACCCACTGAGTCGCCCAGGCACCCCTATTAAATAATTTTAGAAGGAAGCAAACTCATTCTGTTGCCTTTTTGTTTTCAGAGCCCAAAGATCTGCTTGTGAATAGTGGCAGTCAATAAACACTGGGCTGCGTGTCTTTTTACTGTCTAGAATGAGCACCTTTTAATTATGAGCCAAGACTTCATGCACATGGTTTAAACATCATTTTCTCTTTTTGTTCAGAGTTAAAGAATTCTCTTTTCCTTCTTTACTGGCATATTTTTTTGGATTGGCAAACTGTTTGTTTGTTTTTTTAAAAGAATGTGACCACAACAGATCTTAGGTCTGAATTTGCAGTAGACTTAAGGTTGTAGGTTCCCAATTAATGCTGTTTCATAAAAATGTCTTGAAAAGTGTATACGGGGTCATCTTTCAGGTATGGTTGAAGGAGCCTGGTTTATCTGATGTGAGTGCCCTGTCTTCCTCTTTACAGGTAATGCTGAAGTCAGGCACCAACATACTGTACTGGAGAACTACCGGCATCCTTATGGGTTCTAAGGCAGTCAAGCCTGTTTTGGTAAAAAATATCACAATTGAAGGTATTTTATAGCAATCTGTTCTAGTGATCACACATCACATTTTAGAGTTAGTTAAAACATTGGCTAAATGTTTGGTTTGGATGTCTGAAGGGCTTATGGGGTAGGATACATGTCTAAAGACTATTTTTTTGGACAAGTTGACTGGTGTTTTTATACCTGTAAACTAAATTTAATCTCTGTGAAAAAATAAGTATGATAACAATTTTGGTGTCTTTAAGTAAAATAAAATGATCCTTGTTAATAAGAACCTATTCTTCATTCAACAGATGTCTATTGTGCCAGGCATGGAGCTCACTGGGATATAACAGCTCACAGTTATATCTGTAGAAATAACAATAACATAAACTTCTCTGCCTGACTGTCTCCTAAACCTCTTATGCCTCTCTGAACCAGTCAGGCATTTTCTGGCCCAGGAGAGAAGCCAATAAACCCTGGAATAGTTCATTCTCAATTAGGGCTACTTTTAATTAAAGCAGTGATTCTCCTTTATTAATGGCTTCTATTTTATTACTTTCTGTACTGGTTCCTGTGACACTAACTCATTAGTCATGGGGACATCTGCTGGCAAAGGCTGGAATTACAAGCCAGAAGAAAAGGCCATTTCCCCTAGGGTCTGTTACATCTTGCCTGTGACTTAATGATCAGTGGAGGAAAGGGAACAGGTGGTCATAAAGGTCAGAGAAAAGTAGGCTCATAGAGAGCTTAGAGTTAGTGGAATTGTCTTTTTGACGACTCAGTTGATAATTTAGTATACCTCTGTGAAATCTCAATCTCTTGTTTAAGTGTCTGCTCTACTTAGGATGCATAGGATAGTTTCTATCCCAGTTTTTTGCACACGGTAAATACTTCGTTGCTGTTGCACGAATGGGATAAAGGATCCCGGCTCACTATTACTACTTCTGGTAGAAGCAGCAAGAAGGTGCTGATCTGCTTGTTGCTCGTGGGTCCTCCCTCCCATGCTCTGGTTTTCATTACCACACAGGGGTGGCATACACATCAGAATGCTTTCCGTGCAAGCCAGGAACCTTCAGCAACAAACCAGGCTCGTTCATCTGCCAAGTCTGTCCCAGAAACACCTACTCTGAGAAAGGAGCCAAAGAATGCATCAAGTGTGAAGAGGAGTCCCAGTTTTCAGGTAGGACTGGTCTTTGCCAGTTAATAGTCTTTGTTCTTTCTCTCTAAAATTATGTTTGTTTATAGTGTAGAGTCATGAGTCAGAAGTCACATGTAAAATGTGGGAACGGTGTGCCCGGAACCAAGTGCTAAAGTGAATCAGTATTGAATGGATAAAATACGACTTACTGCCCTTTGTGCATGACTTTTCCATTTGTAATTTTTTCTGTTCTACACCCTACAGGGAATTACTTTGGATATATTTATACTAATCTAAAAAAAATCAGATTGTAATTTTACGTGATTTGTTGGCATAGAGATGTACTTAGAAAATTTTACTTTGTTGCAGATTTACAGTGTTCAGATAATAATGGAAGAAATCTAATGTCTTCTTGGAAAAATTATATGTTTCTTGTGTATCATGGAAACATGTCTTGCTCCAGGGTAAATAAAAATACAGGCCTTTATTTTCCTTAGGTCTAGCTAGTTCTTCCTAAATTCCTTTAGTGAGGAAGGTTATTTTTAATTTTTAGTTGTCTGCTTTTTTTTGTTTTGCTTTGATTTTTGCTTTTACTGAGAGTCACAACATACATGACTCATTTCTGAAATGCATTTTTATGTTGCAGAGGAAGGGTCCAGCGAATGTATGGAGCGACCTCCCTGTACCACAAAAGATTATTTCCAGATCCATACTCCATGCGATGAAGAAGGAAAGGTATATAGGCTGTATTCAGTCAACTGCATTCCGTTTTAATCCAACCCTCTTCCCAATTTGAGCAGACTCTACTTTGTTGGTGAGAGACTTAAATGAGTTGATTTATAACACATGTCTGTAAGTGGTATGGCGGAAGTTTAAAAATGTAGATTTTGAATCCTGGTGTCCTGGCTTTGATTTCACACTATTACTTATTAGTGCTGTGGGCCAGTTACTTGCTCTAAGTCTGTTTTTTTTTTTTTTTCCATCTGTACAATGGGGCTGATTCCTACCTCATAAGGCCACTCAGAGAATGCATGAGATAGTCACTTTAAAGTTCTTAGCATAGTGTCTGGCACCTAGTGAGTGCTCAATAAATTACTGCTATTCTTAACAGGAATTTTTTTTTTTTTAAAGAAATAATAGGATCAGGGGGAGCACAACCTTTAAAACGTGTACTATGACTCCCAGGATGGAAGCATCTTATTTGGTTCCTCAGTAGGTTTGATCAATAAAAGCCATGCAGCCATAGGCACATTCAGTTATGGAAGATTATCATGTAATTGCATTTAGAAAACGCAAAGTAATTACCATACAGATGGCACTTAGCCAGAGGAAGAATGCATACATGAACCCTGCAGTTGATGTGCTGTTCTCTTTATTACAGTTAGACTGTATTAGCTTATGTCTCGGAGAAACGGATTCAAGTGGCTGCAATGCAGCATTTTCTTTGTGTTTACATCTTTGAAATAATGGCATTTAATTAATTTTTTTTACACATTTATTTTAGAGAGAGAGTGCAAGCAGGGGAGAGGGGCAGAGGGAGAGAGAGAGAGAGAGAGAGAGAGAGAGAGAGAGAGAGAGAGAGAATCTTAAGCAGGCTCTATGCTCAGTGCAGAGCCCAACGTGGGGCTCAATCCCACGACCCTGGGATCATGACCTGAGACAATAGTTAGAGTCTGATGCTTAACAGACTGAGCCACCCAGGCTCCCCCGTGGAATTTCATTTCTTGACCTAGTTTGGAGAATACACATAGATGTCAGTATTGCTTTTGTTTTTAATTTTGTATCCGTAGTTTCTAGCCTGTACTTTTTATATTTATGTTATTATTACTCTTGCTCTTAGTCCTAAAATTATTTTAAGAATTGACTTTTGGGGCGCCTGGGTGGCGCAGTCGGTTAAGCATCCGACTTCAGCCAGGTCACGATCTCGCGGTCCGTGAGTTCGAGCCCCGTGTCAGGCTCTGGGCTGATGGCTCAGAGCCTGGAGCCTGTTTCCGATTCTGTGTCTCCCTCTCTCTCTGCCCCTCCCCCGTTCATGCTCTGTCTCTCTCTGTCCCAAAAATAAATAAACGTTGAAAAAAAAATTAAAAAAAAATAAAAAATAAAAAAAGAATTGACTTTTGAATACTTAAGACCAAGCACATTATAGTATTTACAGGAGAGTCATTACTTAGAATAATTCAAGAGAAGGCCAGTTTACATTAGTTGAAAAAAATTTTTTAAGTTTATTTATTTGTTTTGAGACAGGGAGAGAGAGAGATGGGGAGAGAAAATGAGCGGGGCAGGGGGCAGAGAGAGAATCCCTAGCAGGCTTCACACTGTAAGCACAGAGCCCATCGTGGGGCTTGACTCCTTGAACTGCAAAATCACGACCTGAGCCAAAATCAAGAGTCAGACGCTTACCCAACTGAGCCACCCAGGCACCCCTAAATTAGTGGAAAATATTAATAATTATATGTATTATTTTTAATAAGTATATGTATTATTTTTAATAAGGACAGTAACTCAAACAACCCTTAAATTAGAAGGAGTTATAAAGTAATATCTTGATGGCCCTATAATAGTGGCCAAACAAAGGGTATTTCCATTTAGAAAATACATGTAGAGAACTACATGTATGTTGAAAGTAATTTGAAATAATGGTACTTAACTAAGTTTTTTAAAACTAAACTTGACTTATTTAAGTAAGGTGAATTGAATTTACTTTATTGTATGTATAGTAATCACTAATTCAGCATTACTGAAGCTTATGTGAATGAGATCCACAAATGGTTCTAGTCTTGGCTATAATGAAAATATTTAAAAGTGCTGTTTTTATTATGTCAACAAGTAGTTTTTTGTCAGTGAATACTGTGACAAGATTTAGTTGACCTGGGCCAAAAGGAAGTAAAGCTATACATTAAATGTAGAATGCACGGAACACACACACACATCTGTGCACACATATGCATGCCCCCATAGGCATGTTGTGTTGACACATTCACACAAATTGCTTTCTTTGTTGAGTCTGGGTAACCCCTGAACATGTTCTCAGTGTAGAACAACACATTGTACTAGCATTCCATAAACCCAGTGAATCTTTAAAAAGTGATTTGAGACTTATTGCAAGATAACAATGTCTTGCTTCAGAAGTAAACAAAAACCAAAAGGAACTTAATTAACAGGTACAATTAATTAATTAATTGGTGGGGAAATAAAGATTGCACATGTGAATTTGAATTTTTTTTTGTTTTTTGTTTCAACATTTTCATTTGTTCTGGTTTCATCTTTTAAAAAGGTATTTTAGGGGCACCTGGGTGGCTCAGTCGGCTATGCATCCAACTCTTGATTTCAACTCACGTCATGATCTCACGGTTCATGAGTTAAAGCCCCTGCATTGGGCTCCCACTGATAGTGTGGAGCCTGCTTGGCTCCCTCTACCCCACTTGAACTTGCACACTTGTGCTCTCTCTCTCAAAATAAATATATAAAGTTTTTTTTAAAAATAGAAAAGGTATTTTATTCTTGCTTGGCTCATCCTGGTGATTTGCTGGTGGTTTAGTGATGTTTTCAGGTTGTTCAATGACTGTGGCTCTTTTTGTCCTGTCGTATTCTCTTTGATCTTATTTTCCCCTTGTGTGGAGAGGATCCTCAAGGAAAGCAGCTACTGATGTATACAGACTTTTGGACATGATAATTTATATGACGTAGAAATGCCCAGGTTTCTGTATTCATTCTGAAGTTTAGTTATTTGATTGCTTCCTTCCAATATGGAACATTTTTCAGAAATATTTTAATTAGTAACTGAAACCGTTCTAATCCTGAATGAGAGACTGATTAACATCATGAAAAATGTGGAATGTCCATTCATTCATTCATTTATTCAGTGAATCTTCACTGAGCACTGGTTATATACAGAGTGCTGGGTGATGAGGGCAGAGCCAGGGACAGGCAGAAGAAGAAGGTAAATGTCTTCCTGGATTGTAGGGCAGTGGTTGTCAACTTTTTTGTGTGCATCAGACTCACCTCAAGGCTCCCATCCCAGATTTTCTGTTTCAGCTGATCTGGGGTGGGACCTGAGGATTTATATGTATTTTTTTTTTATTTTATTTACTTTTTTTTAAAGTTTATTTGTTTATTTTTGAGAGGGGCAGAGAGAGAGAGAGGGAGAGAGAGAATCCCAAGCAGGCTCCACGCTGCCAGCACAGAGCCTGACACTAGGCTCAAACTCCTGAAATCGTGAGACCATTACGTGAGCCGAAACCAAGAGTTGGATGCTCAACTGAATGAGCCACCCAGGTGCCACAAGAGAATTTATATTTCTAAGAAGTTCCCAGGTAATTCTGATTCTTCTGGTCTAGGATCTCAGCAGTTTGAGAACCACTGGTTTGGATTTCAGTGGAATAGAGATAGTCTGTCAAAAAAAAAAAAAAACCAAAAAAACACTATTATTTCCAATTGTGATTAGTGCTACAGGAAGAGAAGTCTGAGTTTTATGGGGATCTGACCTAGCCTGAGAAGGCTTCAGAACTGTATGAAACCTCAGGCCCAGGTATGGAAGAAGAGCATTTTGGGAAGAGGAGCAGATTGGTGAAGATCTGATGTTGGAGGGAGCATGGTGTGTCTGAAGAACTAAAGAGATTTGAGTGAGACTGGAGTGTGGGGATGTGGGTAGGGGGTTGCATTAGCTGCAGCTAATGGCATAGTTTCATGCCAGAAGAGGGAGGTTTCATAGTGGTGAATTAACTTGAAATTTTTGTGTATGTTTTGTTTCAAAATGTTCAGAGCCCATTTTTTAAATATATTAAGATATACTCATATGGCTGCATGCAAGCCCATGCACAGATTCATTGCTGGAGATTTGAACTTAAAAACATCTTCACCTTGCTAATGGCCAGGTAGTCATCGAGAGAAGGCATCTTGTAATGTTTAGCAACATATTTGAACCAGCTTCTCTGATCTTCCAATGGCTAAGATAGGGAATTGTGGACTAAATGATCTGGTTAAGAGGATATATGGCTAACTGAGGAACTGTATGTAAACGTCTGACTTAATAAATGGATATCGACCAGGAGTGTAGTTGATATTAACTGGTAGTGTAGTTCGTATCATGTATTGGCTGTAGGAATATAAATTTAGCAAACTAATTATATATATCCTATGTCATACCAACAAGAATATGAGTACATGTGAGTTATTTTCAACATTTGATTTAAAAATCCTCAACTTACATGAGGATATTAGGGATAAGTGTGTTGAACTGTAAATCAGTAAAGCTGGGGAGAATGACAAAAGTAAAATTTAGAGAGACCTCAGTGTGCTTGAACAGTGAGCTCAAATGACCAAGTGTTGGTGCTTATTGTGTTAAAGTCTCAGATATAAAAGTATTTAGAAAAGAGAAAACATGAACTTGCCAAAAATATTTCAAAGAGAATCCAAACTTTAGAACCTGGCTTACCAAAGAAAAAATGCAATAGAAATTTAATGGGGGAAAAAACTCCCCAAAATATGAAGGGTACTTAGTTTTCAGGTAAGTAGGTACATAGTTGAAAAACAAGTCCCCCACTTGTTTATCCTATCCACAAAGGGTGTCCCAGGTCTGCTTGCAGAAGTTAGAGGGATGAGATGATTTTGTTAGGGAGTCAACCACTTACAGACAAGGCTTAAGCTTTTGTTTATTTTGGGTAACAGAGCTAGATAGAGTAACTTTATTATTATTATTTTTTTGGTCTTTTATCTCAGGGTAAATGGTAGTTCCC